TGTCCTTCCTGTTTGATAGTTTTCCTTCTAACAGTCAGGACCCTCAGCTGTAGGTCTGTTGGAGATTGGCTTGAGGGTCCACTCCAGACCCTGTTTGCCTGGGGTGTCAGCAGCAGAGGCTCAGTTGAAAATGCAGAAATCACCGGCCTTTTTGTGTCTCGCGCTGGGAGTTGGAGACTGGAGCTGTTCCTATTCGGGCTTGCTCCGCCCCCGACCGAGAATATTAATTATTTTATCCCAAAGAGATAAATGAATTTCTAATTTGGCTCTGCTGAAGAAACAGATTTGAATTCAATGCTCCCTTACTAATTCCAAAGGCGCAAACATCTTTACAGGTCCAAATGAAATCAAACTAAATGAAATGATAAAAAAGGAACCAGAGTCTTGTTCATCTTAGATCTAGTAGCTAAGAGAGGCTGAACACAATTAATAGGCAAAGGGTATTTGAGAAGACAATACGTTCTAGGTCTTGGGCTTTTTGTTTGTGTGCATTTTAACTTCTTCCCTAAAAGAAGGCTTTGTTCTTAGGTTCCAAAACCACATTTCCAATACACATGACACCTCTGCTATGCTTTTGGCTTCACTAGCCCCAAGGGTGGATCAAGAGCGTGGAGAGAGCAAGGGTTCAGTCTTCTTTGTAAACTGTAATCCTTAGAACTATCTTGTGTCAGCTTCCAATGTTGCACATCAAAGAACCTCCTTATCCCCAGAGAGGGTTTTTGTTTTTATTTTTTGTTTTCAATTCTGCTCTAAACTTCTATTACTGGGAGTAAAGGAATGCTGAGAGACTCCGGAAGCAATGAATATACTTGTATTATTACAAGTGATGTTCTAATATATTTTCTTCTTGTGGCAAATATTCTTCTATTGCTTCTGTGCCTCTGCCCACTCCAATTGTTCTGCAGGTTATCAGAAGTAACACTGATGTGCTGTAGTTGACTGGTACTGCCACACAAGACTGATTATTAAAGTCACGGGAATTTTTGAGCTGGTTATTAAAATATTGTCAGCTTGAAATAGGTCAGAGCAGAAGTATTTCTACTCCAGGAACTGCCAGTTGCAGTGGTTTGTCTACTAACAGCTTCATCTGTTGGGAATAAGTCTAAACTTCTCTTACTCAGGCTTCCTTTCCAGAACAACCCTTCCTGAAATATGAAATGAGAACTAAGGAAAGGTTAATTCATTCTCAGAAGGAAAATATGCAATTTTATATAAATAACCCACTAAATGAATAGTATTCCTTATGTAAGAAAACTATATATGCTTGATCACAAATATCTGGATCCATAAATTGGGAAATATTAACACTATTTAGTAACTATTTTTTATTATTTAGCATGTCTGGAAAATGATATATTTTGACTCATTAAATATTCTCATTTATTTTTTAAAAATAACCAAAATGCCTAGATCTGTATTACAAATTTTGAAGAAATAAGACATAAATGATATACTTGATAAAACTGTATAGGATATAATTTGATTTTATCATGATTCAGATGGCTCCTCACTAATTAAGAATCATCATTATGAGCAGTGTGTTTCATCATATTTTAGTTGTTTAGAGATTGCTGGTGAATGGCATGTCAGGGACAAAATGCACATATATATCAGAAAAGTGATAGTGAAGAAATTCAGATTTCAGGAGAAGATTTTTTAAATGAAAATGTCTTCCTTCTCTGGCATACATTTTCCTGCCTACAGAGCTTATAACCTTGTTGGCAGCTTTGGCTTTTCTCCCTCTTGCTTCCTTGTCTTTCATATTTTGATATGGATATTACTATGCATTGTACTGTTGCATTTACCTCTTTTTTCATTTCTCAGCTCTAATCCCTCAACACCTGAACGAATGCACCCTCTTCACTGGACTCCCTTCATTTTTTTTATGATTACAGTCACTTTCTCCTTTAAATAGAATGTTGATAGTGTCAGTTTTGCATGGTGACTCTCAACTGCCTGTCAAATTAAATAAAATCCCCTGGCACTGCTTTTAACAGGTGTTTCTCTTCAGCTCTGGATGGGTGAGACACTCCCATGGTATCGCGGAGCCACACACCGTGAAGGACAGTAGAATGATTCCATGTGAATGGTAAAGCAGTGATAAGAACTTGATCCAAAGGAGCCTTCCAACTGAAGTCAAGCCAGCTGTTACTTGTATGGTCAAAAACCATGATGGCACCTACAAGGCATGTGATTTTGAGTATTAAGTTACTTTATCTCTCTGTGCTTTATCTATAAGGTAAGCTCATTGTAATAGTAACTACCTCATAAAGTCGTTGTAAGATATAAATGAATTTAATACAAGTAAAACATTGAGAACAATGTCTGGCACATACAACATACTCAGTGATAGTCAAGCATACTATTTGTATTATCATCATCTTCATGATCATCATATCCATTTCACATATGTGGGAAACATGGCACAAAGTTCTATTCATGCATAACAGGTATGTGTCTCTCTTACCCATCCCATTGTTAGAATCTCTGGCACATAAGGCCCTTCGTTGTTGTGACATAAATCTCTACAGTGTTTAGTGTAGTTCCCTGAACTAACTGTTTAAATCAACCCATGCTTTCTTGTGGATGCAGAGCAGAACTATACCTCTTCCATAAACTTAACAAATTATCTTTTGTTATAGAAGTTATAAACTGCATATGTAAATGAATATGGACTAACAAAGATTCATTTACCTAACAGTTCCAGTATCCACTGGTACCTGTGGAAGGATAAAATTCATATTTATAAATTATGTTTTAAGTAGTTGAAAATGTTCTCAGTGACTCGTTGGTAACATTATACACTGTCAAGCACGAGAAACAGGTGAAAATTAGAAATACATTTAATACTGATGAAGAAGATTTGTCCAACTTCATAGCATCCTTTGAAAAGGAGAACTTCAAAAACTGTCTGTTCCTACTAAAGGAGAGAGTTTGTAAGTGGATGAGTGGCTGATGATGGGAAAGCAGCTCCTATGGAATGGGTTAATAAATGCCCCGTCCCAAAGAAACCACTTGGAAACCTAAGCTTATCTTACAGAGAAGTGAAACCACGGCTCCAACTACAAAATATAAAACGCATCAGGTCCTTCAAAGACTTTCCTTTCATATCAAGCCTAAGTCTCAGTTCTGTATACAATAAAATGCCACCTCATGAAACTTCCCCCTCCTCCTGATCAAGTAGGGTCGCTGCCCGTCTCTGACCTGTGCTTGTTTAGAATTTGGAAACTGTAGAGCAATTGAAACAAACAGATCCAATAGGATTAGTGTCTTTATAAGGAGAGACATCAGAAACTCACGTCCTCTCTCTGCCATGTGAGGACACAGAGAGAAGGCAGCCAAATACAAGCCAAGAAATGAGCTCCTAGCAGAAAGAGAATCAACTAGCACCTTGATCTTGGGATTCCCAGCCTCCAGAACTGTGAGAAATTAAATGTCTGCAGTTTAAGCCACCCAGTCTATGGTATGTGTTTTTATGGCAGGCCAAGCTGACTAATACATCCCTCTGCTTCCAGAAGAGTTAAGAGCAGCACACTGCCTGCTGATTGGATGTGTTTCCATTGCACATTGCATCTTCAAGAACCAGTGTGGGTTTGAAGGGGAACTTTCTTACATGACAAGGGAAATTAATTTTATTCTTGTTGGACTGAGAGACAAGCTCAGCAAGCATGCGAAGCAAAAGAGACTGAAATTAAATTTAAAAATAAACATCAACTGATATTTTTAATAAAGGAAGAGATTCATCTACCAGGAAGCTTGATTTCTCATTCTTAAATATAACATTGACAAACTTTTTAACCTCTCTTAATACCTTCTCTTGTCCAAGAGACTTAGTTTCTTCACCTATAAAAAAGAATAATATTTGCCCTCTCACTCTAAAAACACTGGCATGAGAATAAATTAGAAATGGATGGAAAAAAAGCTCTGCAAACTCTAAAACAAACTTTAAGTAACATAAAAATGAGGTAAGATTTTTTAGGTTTATTGAGAAAGGATTCTAAAAACTCTTAATATAAAACATAGTCACAAATTATAGACTGTATTTTCAGAGTACTATACCCTTCCTTATCACAAAACACTATCAAGTTGGTCAAAATTATCAAGTTGATTAAAATTCTAAACTCTAGACCAAGCGCAGTGGCCCATACCTGTAATCCCAGCACTTTGGGGGCCAAGGTAGGTGAATCACCTGAGGTCAGGAGTTTGCCCCCACCCTGGCCATCATGGTGAAACCCTGTCTCTACTAAAAATACTATATATATACACATAATATATATATTAGCTGGGTGTGGTGGTGGGCGCCTGTAATTCCAGCTACTTGGGAGGCTGAGGCACGAGAATTGGAGAATCGCTTGAACCCGGAAGGCAGAGATTGCAGTGAGCCGAGATTGTGCCACTGCACTCCAGCCTGGTGACAGATGACAGAGTGAGACTCTGTCTCAAAAAAAAAAAAAAAAAAAAAAAAAAAAAAAAAAAAAAAATTGCTGCTTGCCTGGATTTTGGTTCCCACACTTGAAATACATTCTGTTCTGCTCTATGTGATGTGTGATTTTCTTGGCTTAGGAACAACCTAAGGATGGCAGAGGTACAAAAGAGCTAAAGGAAACGTCAAAAAGAAACTGACATACTGTAAACTTGTAAACTTCTGTGCACATTTCATTGGCCAGAGCAAGCCATATGATCACACCCAACCTCTCTGTTTTGTTATTGGCTCTTCCATCCAAAGTCCATTTCTTATTCTCTGCTTTATGATGCTGAAGATGGAGCTCTGCAAACATATTGTTCCTTTTCTAGCTACTCTCTGGCAAAAGAAAATGCTAAAGGGAAACTGGAGGAGTGGAGTAGGGAGGAGGGACTTGTTTCTGCTTGTTTTGCTTCCTGTTCTGTCAGTGGCACCACAACAATCCTTTTTATCTGAAAGTTTCCATTTTTCCCCCTGAAATCTCAAAACCAGCTGTGTTGTACTCCTTCAAAAATACTGACAGCTGGCCAATGCTTCCTCCTCAGAGGTACGTTCTTTTAGGAGACACAAGCCCTGCCACTTAACTCCCTCCCTCAGATATCCTAGCTTAACCCCAGGGGTCCTTTCTCTAAACTCCTGAGGAGCCAGCACCAAGCTGGGGAGCATCCCTTCCTCTGAGGTAGGGGGGTTTCATTTCTGTAAGGTTTCTTACCCAAGCTTCCAGCTTCAAATGCTTCAGTGTCTCCCCTTTGGTCTGCTCACCTGAAGACTGATAGCTGCATTCTATAAGGAACATCTGTTTACTTCAGTGTCACCTCTTGGCTTTTCTGTTCTTCTGTACCTGTTTAATGTATTTCTTTTATGAATGTCTCTATACTAAACTAGAAGCCATGTTTTTTTCTTTACCAGGCACTTATTGATGTAATTCTTGGAATCAGGATTTTAAAATATGAGACTCTGAGAAGACTATGTTTGAAACACAGAAGATTCTGTAGGGCTCCTTTTAGTACTTCCATGTCCAATGGGAAAAATGAATGGCAGATCACAAACATCTAAAGACAGAGACACAGAGCCATTCAGAACTAACAAATAAAGGTGTGGGTCACTCCAGAAGGTAAGTAACTCCAATCCTGCTAAGGACCCTGGTAAAGATAAGAGAAACAGGAAATGTGTTATGGAAGAAAAAATGTATAAATATCAACTGTGGCTTTGTAACCACTTATAAAAACTAGAACTATAGAAATAAAGTAAAATTTCTTACTTGCTTTTATTTTAAGTATATGTTTGTGTGGATAGATGCTAGATAGGTAAAGACATCAGCAACAAAGAAATCAAACAATGAACACCAGAGAGTCTTACCAGATGCAACTAAACTTTCAGACTCACAAAGCTATTACTTGGCTCTGATCTAGTTAGAATAATATAGGACAGGAACTGAGCTTGCTAGAGGGCAGAAATTATCAGTGTTTTCATCCTTTCAGGCAACTGTAACAAAATTCCGTAAACTGGATAGCTTATAAACAACATAGATTTATTTCTCACCATTCTGGGGGCTGGGAAATGCAAGATCAAGGCACCAGAAGATCTTGTGTCTGGTGCAGGCCACTTACTCATAGAGGTGTCTTTTTGCCATCTTCACATGGTGAAAGGGGTGAAAGCTCCACTGGGGCCTCTTTTAGAAGGGCACTAATATCCTGAGGACATAGCCCTCAAGATCTAATAATTTTCCTAATGCCAATCACCTTGAGAGTTAGAATTTTGGCATATGATATGAGTTTTTCTTTTTCTTTTTTTGAGATGGAGTCTTGCTCTGTCGCCAGGCTGGAGTGCAGTGGTGCTATCTAAGCTCACTTCAAACTCTGCTTCCTGGGTTCAAGCGATTCCCCTGCCTCAGCCTCCCGAGTAGCTGGGACTAGAGGTGTGCCTCTACGCCCGGCTAGTTGTTTTTTGTTTGTTCGTTTGTTTTGTATTTTTAGTAGAGACAGGATTTCACCATGTTGGCCAGGATGATCTCGATCTCCTGACCTCGTGATCCACCTGCCTCAGCCTCCCAAAGGGCTGGGATTACAGCTGTGAGCCACCGCGACCAGATGGCATATGAGTTTTTCAGGGGACACAAAAGATTCAGACTACAAAGGTCCATCATTCTTGTCTAGAACCTATCTTCTTATCCTCCCAGATTTCTGCCCCTCTGGGTGACAGCTGTGGTGCAAAGAGCCAAGATCCCCAATGGGTCGAAAAGGGAACCAATCTAGCTAATGCTTCATATTACACAATATCCACTTTTCCTTTCAGTCTCTCAATACTTTTTTAAATGAATTACTTATAATAAATTTTCTCTGTTGAATAACTAATACGTTAAGTCATTTCCTAACATTGAATTACTACATTAAAATAATGTTACTTCTGTTTTTCTTACTAGATTCCCAACTGCTATATTCAATACATTTCACTCTGCCCACAGAGGTAGGCATGCACACTAATCCTAAGGGCACAATGACACTAGTAATATTTGAATAAATACAGAAATGAACATATGTAAAGGCATTAAAATTATAACAATTTAAAGCTCCACATACATCAAAAATTTAATCTTTCTTGGAAAAATTCATTTCAGCTTTTACTTTGTGATTTTTGTCTTATTCTGTTTAGTTTGATTTTGTGAGCGCAGGATTCATTGCACAGTGATTGAACTAGTCATGATTTATGAAACCATAAAAATTCATCCCGAAATACACACATCTATTTCACAATGCATATATACACCCATAGTGAAATGACAAAGTAGTACAGCTATAAACAGGGCTTGTATCTGCAACCCTTGAAGAGGGTGTTTCGGCATAATGTGACACATGTAAAATGACTTTGTTCTCTCTTGTTTCACTTGAGTTCAAATGTCTATTTGAGTTTGCAGCCATTTTCAAATCTGGCTGGTCTTTTTAAAATCAAGGGTACATTTAAAATTCATTTTGTATGCCCTTCTTAACATCCACTGATTTCTTTGTCCACACTCATACTGTACATCTCCAGACAATACCAGTTGTTTCCTTTACAATTGTCATACACAGTTCAATCCCCACGCCCTTCAATTATTTGTCTTTAATTTGCTGGTGTTTGTAACTTTACATATGTATGTGTGTACACATGGAGGTATGCCTCACTCTTAGGCTTATGTATTGGAGCATTAGGAGAAGGGATCACTGCAGGTGGCAAATAATGATTTTCAGAAATAGGCTTGTTGATACTGAAAGTTTTTTAATTTGCTGACATAATCCTGACACCTTGTGATATAAGGCAAAATGACACCAATGTTCCTATTTTCAATGACAATTTTCTGACTTAAGCCATTTTACGCTCATCCTTTTTCCAAATACACACCTTCATACTCCCACTCCTTAAACACACACATCTTGAAATTTATGTCTTCAAACAAAAGACAAGGGGAGAGAAGTCAGCGAGTACAGCAGCTAAGAGACAACCTTTAAAATCGAAAAAAGAAAGGATTAGATAAATTACGGATGTTCATTTCGTCATTTAAAACGGGGGAGGGAGAGAAAAGAATGAGACTCAGAAAAGGCTAAAACTCATTAATTCTCATTTCTTCCTGCTCCACCCTCCATTATCATCAAATCTTGATTTTTATTTTTCCGTACCTTAGAAATCAGAATATTTACCAGCCCTCTCCTTTAAGTTGTTTCTAGAGTACTTACAGGGAAAATTATTTAAAAGTGACCGAGTTCCCTAACTCCAATAGCAGTCAGCTTTCAGTTCACTGCGGAAGTTTGCTTTACCTGGAATTCCTACTCCTATTACCTTTGCATAAATTCATGCTTTTCTCTCAGATAATATTAGTTCCCCAACGGTTCAAAGTAGTCCCTAACAAGGTTATCCTACTTCTAGCCAGGCTCTAGAGCCCAGGTCCGAGCGCCCGGCTTCGCGATGACCCCTGGAGAGGCCGGGACTGGCGCTTTGGTCAGGTGGGGGACGGGGCCAGGTTGCGGCTGGACAGCTCAGCCACCCTCTGCCTGTTTCCACGGCGCAGAGTACCCTCTCCCACCTTTTGCCCGCTGAGGTTCCCTGTACGCTTGAGAGACCCCGGGAGGGAGGTGCAAAGCGCTCTACATGATACCAAAGGTGGGCACAAATCTCAGCTGGGCGCAAAATCTGAATGCACCTGCGGTTGCCTCTCCAGCAGCCGACTGGCCTGGAGACCTAATGGAGTAACGGAAAGGCGGGGGAAAGGGAGACATGGGAAGAGAAAGTGGGAGAGGAGAAGGTAGACAGGATGTTGCTGCTGCTGCTGCTACCCAGAGCCTGCGCAGTCCAAGCGCCCGTCCAGTCTGAGCGCAGCACCCCAGACTGGCTCCCCTCGCGGCCGCTCCGCCCAGCTCTTCCTCCCTGCCCCGCTCAGGTCCCGCAAGACTCCGCGAGCCCGTGGGCACTCGCCGCGGGGCTGGCGCGGGTGCCGGTGGCCCTTCTCTGGGGAAGGGTCACTGGCCTCGCCTCACAAACCCAACCACAGGTGCATCCAGAAACGACAAAGGAAATGTGGGGCGCTTGAGAACATAGAACAACTCTTGCTGATACGAAAGGTGTAGTATAAAAGAGTTTGTAGAGCTGAATTTTGTTCCCAGCTCTTCTTCTAATTAGATTAATTGATCAGTTCTACAAAGTTACTGGCACTACTTTATGTCAGGCACTGTTCCAGGCCCTGGGGATACATGTGTGAACAAAATAGATTAGTCCTGTGGAGCTTACATTCTTGGAACCTAGATTAGTGATTCAAGGAAAAGTCTCCCTCCTCCTCCCTCTCTCTTTGTTAGCTGGGAAAGTGATGTCTGTCCTATGCAAACTTCACATATTAAATATAAGAAGATAATATAATAAAAGAGAATGTAGAAGGCTCTTGGGACACTAGAAAAAAACTCTACAAATCTAACATATTCGACTGCACTGAATGAAATCTTACCATTAAAAAAAGTCACTTCCTATGCACTTTTAGAGTTCAAAGTTCAACTGAAAAAATAAAAAATGTTAAACAACGATAGCATCTGGCACTTTGTCTCTAATCAACTGGAAAACCTAACTAGCCAAAAAAAAAAAAAAAAAGAGATTCCTAGAATTTAATTTAAATTGTGTTATTTAAATTTCTCTTCTGTCTATACACATCTGAAATTGCCTTCACTTTAGCACCCCTGAGTAGAGATATCAGATTTTCTCTTTTTGTAGAAAATGACTGCAAATAAATAGGCATTTGGAAGGTAAACAGTTTTCATAACCAGCACCATGAATTACAGAGAGTCTCAAAGTTGGGTTACTTTAAGGAATATAGGGAAAAATTCAGTTTTAGAATTTGGTTATATTAGATATAAGCCCTGTCATCTACTTCATCTCACAAGGGATGGTGTTTATAAAACTTCACAAATTAGTTATGACTGTTAAAATTACCTTCAAACTAAATCCTAATCAGTTATCAGACTGACTGCTACAGCTCTCCAGAACCTGAAATTATGGTTGTTAAAGGCCCAGAGTAACAGAGATTAAGATGCTAGTGACTATCAGGACAGCAGCATCTGCAGAGCATTTTCTGGCCACATGTTGTTCTGCATGTTGTGGGAGTCGGACAGTATTTTAGGTCAGGCCTAACTCAGAGACTGAGGCTTCTGTTGAAGTTCAACAGCTTCAACATTACAATAAGGTTATGCACTACCTTCTACTTCCTTGTATTTCTCTCCCTATATCCTTGTGAAAAGAGATGAATTTCAAAAGTAGGAGATTAAGATGAGATGTCCTGGAGACTGTTACCAAATCTCCACGAATTCAATAATAATAGTAAACTATCTTATATAGTTTATACATTTACTCATTTAGTACTTTGAATATCCTCATAAGGTAGATGGGTCAAAGAGTGGAGTTGGCGATCCAATCAGACTAAATTCAGATAATATGACTTTAGGTACTAAGCTACACTGACTCCCTGAAAAAAAAAAAAAAAAGTAAAATGATGAAAAACAAACATACACAGGCTTACTGTTTGCCCAGAGCAGCCTTAGCAGGTCTGGTGGGGATTAGGAGCCCCTGAATGTCCTTTTAAGGATAGAGGTGTGTGACAGATAGGGTCCTAATTTCTGATCAATTTTTCTCCCTTTAGATTAGAGCAACAAATAGGTGAGCCTGAGAGTAGGATATACCCCCAGTGTATATAAAGTTAAACTTCAATCAAGCATTTCTCTGAATGAAACACAATACAAATAGTTAAAAGATAAAGTAAAAAGACACATTCTTTCTGACAGACTAGAAATCTTTTCTCCATGGCAAGTTGAATATTCCAATTTGTTTAGTACCATAGTTCTTTTTAAAAGGGATTCAGCTGAAATAAACATCAGTACTTATTTGTAAGAGCAACAGACTGTACCAAAGTTATAGCAACCATTGAGATGGAATATGTATACAAAAGGGAAAATACTTGCCTTAATTTACCTCCTTTATATATATGAAATCCAAGGTCTTGTGTACCCTCTGATGAATGACTGCATGCTATTAATGAAATTTTTGTCGGATCAATCGGCTTCTTTTATACCCTATTGTGGCAACCAAGAGTTCTGTTAAATTGGTTTTAGTTTCTGTGATTGAGAGGTATTAGTGAAATCCATTTATATTTATCCAGGAAATCAGAAGTAGAATATATCCATTCTAAATTTTCAGTGTATATGCCACAGCATAGTTTATTCAAACATATAGAGAACTATTTCAACAAGTATACCTGCTTGTTTGGAGATGAAATCTGTGACGTAAGACGCTGCTTCTGTTTGGAAGCAGCATTATCAGAGAAAATAAGGCTGCTGCTTAAAAGTTGACAAACGTGTTAAACATAAACATTGTCCCCTGATGCAAACACTACTGGCATAAATAACCAAGAGATTTGCTGTGTATCTGTATGTTGTTTGAGTGTTATTGTTTGGGATGTTAGTACTGGATCATCTTATGTAGAAAAATCCCATGGACTTGATAAAGTATATGTCTCTACATTGCAATTAATTGCGTATGTTTTCAGTAAAAAGATTTGCAGGCTCAATGAAGGTGAGCTTAAAATTCTAGAATCTATGCCACTGTTATCTATAAAGCTCACCTGATACTTGTCTTATCTAAGAAAAAATTGTTTTAAAGTACCTAAGTGACACAGTGGTGAGTGATCCAACTTTGAGTGTATTTAATGATACACTATTTAAAAAAAAATATTGGCAATCCAACCACTCAGAGGGAATAATCTAGGAGAAGAAGAAAAAAATAAACTAAAAGTAAACAAAATGAAGTAAATATGAAGAGCAGAAGTCAATAAAATAGAAAATAAACAATAGAGAATAGGACAAAGATACTCAGTAAATGTTATATTTATTAAGTCATAATAATGAAGAGTAAATAGGAGCTATTGAACCTTCAATGCTGAGGAAATCTCTTCTTGTTAACGAGTGACTGTTAGGAAAAATCTTAAAAATTGTTTTCAAATAATATACCAAGCTTTGTTACATAAACAGTTAAGTAGAGCAAGTATTAATTACCAACCAGTGGATAGGAATCACCCTGCAAAACATTAGAAAATTCTCTGAAAGGTTCAGAAAACAATATTGGAATCTGTATCTTGATTAAAATTTCCCTGGGAGAAAGGGTGCAAATATGGAAGACCCAGGGAGACCTATTACTGTCCGTTATCTAGGCTATCAGCATAAGGAACTGTCCAGACAATAAGTGCTGGCTGTTATCGAGAACTTCAAGTTTAGAACAAAATAACATTAAAAATACCTCAGTATGTTGGCAGTTGATAGGGGTTAGATAATAGAAAGGGAAATACTAAAGGTCCAAAAGCTGAGAAAAAAAATATGCTATAGCAGAATTTTAATGCCTATTTTAGCTTTAATACCTGTTATTCAAATGAAGATATTTATGAGCCCATGTCTGAGCAGGTGAAGGCAGAGTTGCTCTGGATGAAGAGAGGCTGGGGCATCAGGGTCCTGTCTTCTCTGTGCCACTGTCCCTGCCAGGAGGTTCTAGGCAGCACAGTCTGAGAACTTCTGTTCTACGGAAAGGAGGAAATGATGAATGCAAAAGTACAGATGGAAGTGTTACCTAGGTATAGAAAAGAAATATTTTTACAACTGAGAGGAGCCAAAGAAGAGAGAGATGAGAATTGAAAATGCACTGAATACATTGCTTTTAAGCAGTATTTTACGTATGGTGGAATGTTAGTGTAACCACAGACCACAGGGGAGATATTTTTGGACAGGACACTATTTTAAGGGACATCACCTAAGATAACACTATGAAAGAAACTGCCCACATTAGGAATATGTAGGATCTGCCATGTAAAATTAGCTCTGAGGTGTCCAGAAGAAGTTAATCACGCTATGTAGTGTTTTATAAGCATCTACTTGGAATCAGGAAGATCTGAGTATAAATTGATTAATAACTGTGTAACTATGATTAATTTGCTCAAAATTATCATTTATAAAATATATAATTAAATTTAACTCATGGGGTTGTTGTTAGAATAAAACTTCATATGATTCCTGAGAAACACTAAGTATTCAATAAATGCTAGTATTTACTAAATGAAAATGTTACCGCTGGGTCAGTAAATAGGTAACTTTAGTTACCTTCAACTAGAATTAGAAGGAGCAGGCTATCCCTGCAGAAACAGGCAAGAGAACCATGTTATTTCAGGCAGAAATTATAAATACGCATATATAGTACACACATATAAATATATAGGCAAACATATACACACATATATATACACATATGACATATATAGAGAATCTGTTGTATCTGTTAATAATTCAGAATTTTTTACATGGGTTTATAAGTAAAATTCAAGGGAAATAGAAAAAAGCAGAAAGAGTTTTAGGAAACATTTTGGTAAAGGATAAGAACTATAGTTAGCCCTGGTTGTACTGTATTTCTTATTTCTGAAAACATCTTACATGAAAAATTCTTAAAAGTTCTGACTAATTATTTCATTTTGGTGAGTTCAAGAAAAGGAGAAAGAAGATAGTGGTTGGTGAGTATAGGGAATTTTTCACAGAACATTGGTATTAATCCTACTCTAGGAAAAAGAGAAGTAAAAAAAAATAGTTGCAAGTTTACATGTTGAGTATGTTTTATTTAAAAATGAATAAGGTCTGGTTGGCAAAATGTTTTGATAGTTCAAGTGAAATAGTTGAATCAATATTTCTCTATTTACAGGGATGTAAGGAAAAATGAGATAATAATGAAGGTCAAAGTCACTGCCGCTGTATATTGCCATGAGGAAGTGAACTATTTATAAGAAAGCCTGGTGGGGTGCGGTGGCTCACGCCTGTAAATTCCCAGCAGCTGTGGGAGAGCATGAGGCGGGGGATCACACAAGGTCAAGAGATTGAGACCCGATTCCTGGGCCAACAGGTGAAACTGTCTCCATACTCAAAAGTACAAAATATTAGCTGAGCGTGGTGGTGGGTGCCCTGTAGTCACCAGCCTACTTGTGGCAGCGACTGAGGAGGGAGACACACTTGAAACCGGGAAGGCAGAGGTTGCAGTGAGACAGAGATCTGCCCACTGCCACTCCCAACCCTGGTGACAGAGCAAGACTCTCAAAAAAAAAAAAAAAAAAGAAAAAAAAAAAAAAAACAAAGAAAAGAAAAAAAAAAAAGAATTAAAGACAATAATAATTTTCTTTACTTTAAGTTCCTGGGATATACACTGTGCAGAATGGGCAGGTTTGTTTCATAGGTATCATTGTGCCATGGTGGTTATTGCACCTATTAACCCATCATCTATGTTTTTTTGGTTTGGGTTTTTTTGTTTTTGTTTTTTTGAGATGGAGTCCTCACACTATTGCCCAAGCTGGAGTACACGATCGGCTCAATGCAACCTCTGCCTCCTGGGTTCAAGCAATTCTCATGCCTCAGCCCTTCCAAGTAGGCTGGATCACAGTGCCTGTCACCAGGCCCGGTGATTTTTTTTTTTTTTGTATTTTTAGTAGAGACGGGGTTTCACCATGTTGGTCAGGCTGGTCTCGAAGTCCTGACCTCAAGTGATCCACTTGCCTTGGCCTCCCAAAGTGCTAGGATTACAGGCATGAGCCTCTGCACCCGGCCCAACATCTAGGTTTTAAGCCCTGCATGCGTAAGGTATTTATCCTAATGCTCTCCCTTCCCCTTTCCCCTTTCCCCAACAGGCCCCGGTGTGTGATGTTCCCCTCCCTGCATCCATTTGTTCTCATTGTTCAACTCACACTTGTGAGTGAGAACATGTGGTGTTTGGTTTTCTGTTCCTGTGTGAGTTTGCTGAGAATGATGGTTTCCAGCTCCATCCTTGTCCCAGCAAAGGACACGAACTTATCCTTTTTTATGGCTGCATAGTATTATATGGTGTACATGTGCTGCATTTTCACTATCCAGTCTATCATCGATGGGCATTTGGATTGGTTCCAAGTTTTTGCTATTGTGAATAGTGCTGCAAAAAACATACGTGTGCATGGGTCTTTATAGCAGAATGATTTATAATCCTTTGAGTATATACCCAGTAATAGGATTGCTGGGTCAAATGGTATTTCTGGTTCTAGATCCTTGAGGAATTGCCACACTGTCTTCCACAATGGTTGAACTAATTTACACTCCTACCAACAGTGTAAAAGCATTCCTATTTCTCCACATCCTTGCCAACATCTGCTGTTTCCTGCCTTTTTAATGGTCACCATTCTAACTGGCATGAGATGGTACCTCATTGTGGTTTTGATTTGCATTTCTCTAATGACCAGTGATGATGGGTTTTTTTTCATATGTCTGTTGGCCGTATAAATGTCTCTTTTGAGAAGTGTCTGTTCATATCCTTCACCCACCAATATTTTTTATTACATCCAAAATGCAACTTTTGAGCATAATATTAAGCCAAGTTAAATTATTTGAGCATGGTATTTAAGCATGGTATTAACCATTATCATGGTTATTTGAACATGATACTAAATCAAGTTAAATTCTTCCTGAATCTTAGTGCAAAAGCACTATGAATTTTTTGATAAAGACAAATTTATCATAAACATCAAGATGAAAAAACATTTGAAATATCCATCAAATTTTTCCATCCCATTATTATGAATGCCATCTCTGTTTTTGAAGAAATATCTTTCTTTTATTCTTGCTCTTTCACACATGTACTATGTTTCCAAGTAAGTAATCTTATTTGCTACTCCATTATATAGACTACCTTAAAATAATCAAGAGGTCCTCACAGCCACCTCGTGAGCCAATGGAAGAAGCAAATGTCTCCCATCCCTCCTCTTAAAGAGACACATTTAAACTTGCTACAGTTACGAAAGTTTCCAATAGTAATTTAACACTTTTGAAGCACTTTTGAAAGACAATTTCTAAATGTCATTTGTTTTATTCCATTAACTTTATTAAAATTCTAATTAATAGAAAATCTTTGGTATATGGATTTGTTAGCAACTGATTAGGTCATCAAATTTAAACAAACCATGTCTGTTTTCTTTCCACCAAAATCGGCTTCTCTGATCTAATTGCCTGTCTATTTAAGTAATGAAATTTCTCATAAATGATATCAAATTGCTTCTTGAAAGATAAATTATTATCCTATTCAATTACAAAAAAAATTTTGTGCCAGTACTCTAGATTTGTTGATGGTTTTAAACTCGTATTTTTGCCTAATTAGATGTTTATTTTTCGAAGTCTTTTGAGAAGTTCACTTGCTTTTGTTTCTGCATTTATTTTGCCATTTAACAAGGCATTTACTTGAACTAAATGTATCTTAAAAATTTATCCTTCTTGTTAAAATACATCTAATGTTACAATCCAAATCTTCTATAGTGGCACAAGCAATATGCAAAATCTATGACTATTAAGAAACAAACGTGTTCAATATGTGCTGAATACTATAATCCTCTGCTAAACACTTTATATGATTTGTTTTAACCTTATAATCCTTTTATTGCTAATAAAAAATAACAGAAATGGCAATGTGCTATTAGTACACAAAAGCAAATAGAAGTATATACATACACATATACAGATATATGTATATACATATTTAAAAAACCCCATATATATATATTTAAAATCCCAAGTGTTTGACTATCCCTTTCCTGCTTCCCAAAACAATGACAAATACCATCATGTATACACCTAGAGCTGTATAGTTCTTAAAAGAATTCCCTTAGAAAGCCATACAGTTATTCCAATAATATCCCTTTGCTTAGCATATTTTTCTGACATCATTTTGTGACTGGCCTTTAGAATCACCTTATAAATTACACAGGCAAAGCTGTTCTATTATTTTGAATTGACATCCTGTTTACCCAAATCCGTATTGTCCAGTTAATGAACTACTTTCTTTTCAGATCTTTGGTTCAAAACAAAGTTTAGGTTTTATAAGAATGAGAATCCACCTTCGAGTGGACACACTTTGTGGCAATTAAAGGTACTTATGATGAGAAGCATGTTTTGAAAGCGTGATTGTGTGTATTTATTTTGTTTTGTTTTTAATAGAAAGGAAGCAAAGCATAATGGTTAAGAATATGAACTGAGAAGTCAAGCCCAAATTCTAGATGTTGTTTTGTCACTTTGATAAGTAACTAATTCCACTGGGTCTCAGTTTCTTCATCTGCAAAATAGAGCCTCTACCAACACCTTACAGTTGCCATGAGGGTGCAATAGATTTAACACAGACATATGTCTCCCACAGTGCCATAGGAAGAACCCCATAAAAGACAGATTAGTCTTCCTCATATACTTGTGTGACGGCATAGAACACTAATAAAGACACCTCCGTAATATCTCCCCTTTAGTCTAAAAAAAATTGTATCTTGCCTGATAGGCTATTTATAATAGCTGATCAGGAGCAAAACAGAGAATAAATACAGAGAGACAGGGAGTTAAAGGTATGAGGTCTGAGGAGTTTAGAGGCATATGGATATTATTAGAGCATAGAAGATTAAGACCAATTGATGGGTAGGGAAGTGAATAAGAGGAAAAGTGGGAGGCTTTAAGACATTTCATTTGAGTCTAGGTGTGGCCTGCATAGAATTTAGGAGATAAATGTTAAAGTCCTCAATGACTTTGTAATTAGTTATTGTGGTATTTATAAACAAAACAAAATAACATGGGTTCATTCCATAATAAATACACTTTTGTTTTTTTGCCTTTCCATCAGTGATATTAGTGATGACCCAGCCACATTTCTTACTGAATTCTTGTTTGTACTATAGTTGGTATGTTTTTCTCAAGCTAGAGTTTCAAAATTTTCCCAAAGCATTTCTATTGGATATTTTTAAATTTACTTAAAAAATGTATAAACTTGACCACATAAAGCTTAACTGGTTATAGGTGCTACAACATCCCTGAATTATCAGGTTCACAGAAATTGCTAAAAATCAAGACTATGTACTGTATCAATAGTGTCTTCATTTGAGTTGACATTTCTAGTGTACTGTAAATGATAGTATTACTAATGGCATAAACTTTCATAGCAGTTGGCAACATTTGTATATAATTTAATCTGTCTTTAAAACTTAGCACAACAAAATTACTTTATTTGCAA